AAATGGACTTCTAAGACCTCGAAGCGTTCTCTAGGTTTTGTGTCGCTTAACGGCCGGGGATGTGGACCTCAAGTTTTCAATGGTCTCACCTAATGGTATATGAATAAAAGTACTATAGGGGTAATAAAAGTAATAAAAGGGAATTCGACTGCATTTTATTGTACATGCAGTGTTTTTCTTCAGCACAACATAAGAGTACCTCAACGGAAATCATGATGTCTGGCTAAGCGCGACAAAATTGTGTCTTTCGAAACCAATAAGAAGCACGGATATCGACAAAAAATCACACAATGCCCTTGTAAAATCCACGATGTCATGGGTAACGTCAATTTCCATATTTTTGCGAGAGAAATTTCTTTATTAAAACTTTACGTTGGGAAAAACTCTTATTTTCCAGGAATTCTCAGCATCCACCCATCTAAACACGACTCTAAGACTAGAGCAACTGACAAATTTCTGTATTGACGTCATATCTGAAACAAGTCTATTGATAGGTATCAGATGACCGCATTGTCGGCGGCTTGCCGGGTCATCGAACTTTCGGAACTTTAGCCGAAACGACTCGTAGTTGCGGGCTGTGAGGTAAAATGTGCATATTTCATACTCACTCATGGGGGCAAAAACTAACATTTCAGACCATCTGACAACCATGAGACTCGGTTAACAGCCCGGAGCGCTGTTCTCATGGTCAGCATATGTTCAAGTTCGGTTCGTTGCCTCATAGTCAAAATTCACACAAACTTCGTTCTGTAACTAAACGGTTGAACAATACTTTTATCTGTTTAATCCAACTGAAAAGGATGAGTGCCCATCAGGGCTTTTTTGGTCTGAAAATGTATTGTGCTCAGAAAAAGTTTTCACGTGGGAAATTTTACTTTTAATTATCATCATTCCGGGACTTAGGCTAGGTTTCGAAGTTGCATCGCATGCCGGAGGTACGATGGTGTCCAAAATTTGAACTCTATCGGTTTGAATTTTTCTGCGCCAAGCTGATTTCTCGATGCATCTGTTGCAATAATTCCAAGTGTCACATTGCGCGTCATATGTCTTTGACAGCGAGACAAGTTTTTTCGGATTTCAAAATTCTCTAAATTTTTCCAGACTATTTGAGGAATTTGAACATAAGCCTCCTGACTTTATGATGGTTTTCCAAGAAGGTTGGGCGAGAGGGCATGATTTCTATAAAAAATATTTTTACGAATATTTTGAGTTTATTTTTTGACGTCCTTGTTTTACTAGACTGTTCGGTACGAAACTAGATAGTTAAATCAGGAAGCGACGCACGGTGGATCGAGTCATAGGGCAGGCCGGACATGGCACATCACGCGACTTGGTTTGCTCATTTACGTAGTGTTTGCGCTCATAAAACAAATCAGGATATATGTTTCTTATGTATTTTTCGTCGCAGATTTCATTTTTGATGACTATTTTCCTGATTATTGGGTTTAGATATGTATTTTGGCACAATTTCAGATAAATAAAGAGATATTGTTTAACAACAGATAAGTTTAAACTTTCTACACTCATTTCAATCGAAGTTTTAAGTGTTCAATGAACTTTTCTCTCCGGTAAAATGTTTAAATATCGTATATAAAACGTATATTACTCATCTCTTTTACCATTTCCCCTCCTCTCCCCCAAAAAATGAATTGATAGAAATCCGAAAATGTTGAGAGGAAAACAGAGGATCTCCTTTCCCCTTCATTCCTGGGGCACCTTTTTAGCTTTCTAACAAAAGAAAATGACAAGGGGGAAAAATATGAGAGAAAAATACAAATCAAATACACATCAATCAACACAAAAAATCATGTATTATCCGAGCCTTCCTAATTAAGGGCCCCGCGAGTCACCATTGTACACTGCCTTTATTTATACTTAGGTATCTAATGGAGCTTCTTCGGCTTAATGATTGCTGCTGAAGCTCGAATTACCTCAATTTTCTCTATTAACTTCTAATTTTCCGAAGAAATTAAACATAAAAAAAAAAAAAAAAAAAATCCGATGTCAAAAAACACGAGTTTTTGGGAAATAGTTAGAAGATAGAAAAGAATTTAGGCCATTGTTGACTTTAGAATCAAATAGTAGATGAAAAATGCTCCATTAGACCCCAACTTGATATAATTTTCCCGTCTTTTCAGACGCAAAACAAACGGATCAGTTTCATATGCGTCGATTAGGACATTTGAGAGGAAAACCCCGTTATCTGAAACAACGAAGACATTTTTTTAACCACGCAAGGCATGTTTTCTCATGTATTTTTGTCTCCTGGATTCGAAAATGACCTTGGTTTCTCTTTACCATGCACCAGTTTTCCGGAAAATCACATTTCCCGAAAAGTCCATTTTAAGTGGAAAATCTCAATTTTCCGGAAAATCGGTGGGTGTTGGAGAAAAACCAAGGTCATTTTCGGACTCAGCACTAAAAATTACATACAAATCACCTATCAAATGCCCGGTGTTTATTCGCCACAGACCTGTGAAATTCGAATTCTCTCGAGCCACCATTTTATGAACTTCACTTTTTCAAAATCATAGCTTTATTCCCAAAAGGGCACTTTGGGGCAGCCAATTTTTCTTGATAATGAATCTTCAGGGATCAGTTAACACTGCTATACAAAGGTTTCCCTGAAATACGCTGAAATAGCTAGTTAAAAGTCTAGCTATATTATTATTTTTACGGTATTGAGGAGGGTACTTTTAAGCAAGAATACCGCTTATAAAATAGCGATATCTTAACTTGTTATTAGTGAAATATATTCTATTTAAAGAGGAGAACAAGCTACTTTAGTCAGAAATTGTCATAAATCTATCGGAGGGAAATACCAACAGGCGCACGGTTTGTCCCGAGTGAGGCAACATGTTTCGAGTGCCGCCTGAGCCACTTTAGGAGGCTGTGTGCGTTAAACTGGGGTTAAAAAATTGAAAACCAATACCTGTATCATAAAATATAACTCTTTGGGAAGACATTTACATCAATGAAATGACTATTTGTGAGAATCGCCCATGTCCGACTTTTTGCAGGTTTCGATCCACCGTGCGACGGCGGAATCGTTTCGAGTCCTCGGACCCATGATTGGTATAGCGCAGTTTTCTAATTTTCTACTTTCACCCGTAGACAAGTTTAAAACGTCACGTTAAATGACGTCATCTTGGGCTAATCATACAATCAATCAACCTGTGTTTTAAAGTGTTCCAACGTTAACTATGGGCCAATTTTTAAAATTTTGTGTTTGTCTGGCGGACATAAGTTAACCGGCGGCGCGTCATTGGTCGGCTATGTCTTATCGCTGCTTTGTCGTGCCTTTGTCAGGTGGAATAGACGACAAACCGTCGGTAACTCAAGAGGCGCCTTTAGATTGTCGTGAATGGAGATTGGAGATGTTGTATGTGTGAGCGATTTGCGATTTAACTGTTGATTCTTATGTAAAAGTTTGCAAGAAACACGATGGTGCCACTGGTTTTCTCTGAAATTGACTCCCAAGCTCAAAAAAAGCTCTCAAGTTTGTGATATTTCAGCCGGAAGGTGAAAATATGCAGCGCAAACAGCTCTCAAAGTTAGCGTATCAACTCTTCGTAGGTCGCGGTCGGACCATCATAAAACGCCTTCAAATGCATGTGATACTGTGCAACACACCAGAGTTGATATAGTTGTATTCTTAGGTTGGAACCTAACTCGAGTAAATCGCTCCACCGAATAAGGCATGTTAACCTTTTAACTGCTGTATTTCAAGTTACCTCGCATGATTTTTGCCTTAACTATCTATGAAAAAAATACAAAATGACAGCGGGAATCCTGAAACGTTGCATGGCGCTTGCGATACTTTGACCGGAATGTGATGATATTAGATGCTTCAAAATGGAGATGTTGCATGAGTGAGGAATTTGCGACTTGACTACTGGTTTTTATGTAAAAGTTCGCTGGAAAAACGATGGTGGTTTTCTCTGAAATCAACTCCCACGCTCAAAAAAAGCTCTCAAATTGAGACCAAAATGGATGGGATATCCCACGCTATCCTGAGAGTCCCCATCTACATCAAGACAAAATCTCCATGCAAAGATAGGGAGCAAATACATTGACAGGGCTGCCACTTTGTTTGGGGACTCTAAAAGTAAAAACACGGCAACCCTGCTTATGTATTTGCTCCCTATCTTTGCATGGAGAGTTGGTCTTGACGTAGAGGTGGACTTTCAGGATAGCGTGGGATATCCCTTTCATTTTGGCCTCAACTTGGGAGCGTTTTTTGAGCTTGAAAGTTGATTTAAGAGAAAACCAGTGGCACCATCGTGTTTCTCGCGAGCTTTTACATAAGAATCAAGTGTCATATCGCAAATTCCTCACACACGCAACATCTCCATTCCACCTGACAAAGGCACGACAAAGCAGCGATGAGACGTAGCCGACCAATAACGCTCCGCCGTTTAACCTATGTCCTCCAGCCAAACACAACATTTCAATTATCGGCCCATTGGGCTGAGCTATACTGTTACCGGTAATGGTGAAAAATACTCCCGAGCTATAGAGAAATCTATCCTCTATAGCTATAGAAAAAGCTATCCTGGGAAATACACTGAAAAAAATCTCGGTGTATTTACTAGGAAAAGGGTAAAATTACCAAGAATTCAGGGTTCTATTTGATCCCAGTTTTTTCTTGGTAAAATTACCATTTATGGAATTGAAATTATTGACTTTTTCGGTAATTTTACTGGACCCCGGTGAAAACGCCAATATTTTTTATCGATTGTGGTAGAATCACCGAGATAAAATGGCAAAGTAACCGGGAATTGATTACCAATAAAAGTGGTATTATTACCTGAAAAACAGTAAAAATACCGGTTTTTAGGTGAGCTTGCCAGTCTGTTTTGGTAAAATTACCAATAATTGGTAAAAAAGTGAGATGGTAAAGGCACCAACGGACCTTGGTAAAAACGTCGAGAATTTTTTTTCAGTGTAGAGGAAAGAATAGGGATTCCTGCGGGTGGGTGGAGAAAGAGGTGACTCACCGTTGATGACGTGGACGTTGACGGAGGTGGCCTCAGCGGAGGTGGGTCGGCAGGTGTAGTTGCCGGTGTCGGAGCCGAGGGCGCGGGATATGTGGAGCTCGGAGGTGAAGCCGTCGGTCCACCGGGTGTCGATGGTGAGCCGTCGCTGGCCGTCGTCGTGGACGAGGCGCTCGCCGCGGTACCAGAAGATGGTGCCCAAGTTGTGCGGCCCCTGACTGATGACGCACGTCAGCGTCAGCTCCGAGCCCGACTTGATGTACACCTCCGACGGGCCCAGGATCTTCGCTTTCGATTCTGAAACACACACCCATCGCACTCCTGTTAATCTCATGGCATCCGTGCAATTTTAATGCAATGTTCGGTTTAAAGTACAGTGGTAAAAGATCAAGTGGGTAAAGTGCATCGCCTGGGGCCGAATTTCATCGGTCCTTTTGTGCTGGTTACACGCTCAAATTCCCATCAATTTCCGATCAAATGGTGACTGGTGCGCACCATCTACCATCAAATTTCTGCGGCCTGCAAAAATTTGATGGTAGATGATGGAACTGTGGGGCTCATCCTTCATCTGATTTCTACACAACCGTGCTTATTTCATGCTTATTTCAATCAACACGCTGCTTTAATTAATTTTACTCATCAATCTAGATAACTCTCAACCGCCATCTTGGTCATCATTTTGATCGGAATTGGACGGAGATTTGAGCGTGTAGCCAGGCCATAACACACAGAAATGCAATATCCATCGATGAGTCCAAACCGCACCACCGGCCAATCAGAAACGCAAAATATATTTGAGTATGGTAGAGGGACCAACAAAATTTAGTCCCTGCGTTGCACTAGCACGCTTGTGATTAGGACGTGCTGAACAACACATGAAGGCGCAAATAATTTTTGTGCGTAAAAAAATATTGATTAATAAATACTTTGTGGGTAAAGAAATGGGAAAGAAACGGGTATAGAGGAATGACGAGATAGAAGAGGATTCTAGGGTCATATAGAGAGAGCATATACATATGAAAAAAAAATAAATAAATTATCAAAATGGACCACTAGACAAGGTACGAATTTCAGCACTCTGATATATGTTCCGTAACCAAAATTTCACGTAGAGCACGATGCGCACAATAAAAATTATCGAAATAAACTCCTCACAACGATATTTAATGATTCTTGATGCGTGAATTCAAACCACCCGCTCATGAAAACTCAATGCTCTACGTGATTCATATCGCGCGCTAAACGTTATCATGACAGTCTCTGCGCGATGTAAAAATCTGGCAACCTCCATCTTGACGCTTTGGCTCAGCTATAGCAAATTGCCTATAGTTCGAACAACACATGGTGGGAAATGAATATTGCTCGATTAAGAAACTTGCTGAGACCGTTGTCGTGCGCGATTTGACTCACGTAGAGCTTTGAGTTTCTTGTGAGTGGGCAGTTCAAATTCCTCGTAACCAATGTGAAATGAAAAGGTTAGTATCTTCGTTAGGATTTGGTTTCAGTAATTTTCGTTGCGCGAATCGTGTTCTACGTGAAATTTTGGTTAAGAAACATGTATCGGAATGCTTAAATTCGTACCTTGTCTAGTGATCCATAGTTGGATGAACTCTAATATATCGACGGTGAAACTCCCAAACCACGTATTTCGGTTTGCAGCGTTGCAAATTTTCTATCATGCAATCATTTTTTAATTGAAAACTACTCACTGTCCATTCTTTAAAATTTACAGGATTTCTCCTCTTTGCACGAAAAAATTTCTGTGAAAATTGCCACTAATGATGATGCTTTGTTCCTCTTCCAAATTATTATAGGAGCGGAGATTTTACGACACCGCCGGCGACATACGTGGTTTGGGGTTTTCATCCTCGATATTCACCATGTAGTGTAAGGTAGACCCGTAAACACGTCAAAGACACAAATCTTAAGATATCAACATTTTTCTACACCGGGAGTGTTTTCTAGCCAACCTTGAAATTTGCAGGAAAAATCTCAAAATTCAATTTTCTGACCCAACTCGACAAAGTTAGCCCTTCTGAAAAGTATCCTTTCGGACGAAGAGCCCTTTTCCCGTGGACCGTCATCTTTCATAACACGCAACTGACCAGTTCACCATGTAGTGTAAGGTAGACCCTTAAACACGCCAAAGACACAAATCTCAAGATATCAACATTTTTCTACACCGGGAATGTTATCTAGCCTACCTTGAAATTTGCAGGAAAAATCTCAAAATTCAATTTTCTGACCCAACTTGACAAAAGTAGCCCTTCTGGAAAGTATCCTTTCGGACAAAGAACCCTTTTCCCGTGGACCGTCATCTTTCATAACACGCAACTGACCAGTTCACCATGTAGTGTAAGGTAGACCCGTGAACACGTCAAAGACACGAACTTAAGATATCAACATTTTTCTACACAGAGAATGTTATCTAGCCTACCTTGAAATTTGCAGGAAAAATCTCAAAATTCAATTTTCTGACCCAACTCGACAAAGTTAGCCCTTCTGAAAAGTATCCTTTCGGAAAAAGAACCCTTTTCCCGTGGAAAAATCTCAAGATATTGACATTTTTCTACGCCGGGAATGTTTTCTAGCCTACCTTGAAATATGCAGGCAAAATCTCAAAATTCAATTTTCTGACCCAACTTGACAAAAGTATAGCCCTTCTGGAAAGTATCCTCTCGGACAAAGACCCCTTACCTTTTTCCTTTCGACTGTCATCTTTCATAACGCGGATCCGACCAGTTCAGGGACGCTCGGGCAAGGGGAGGGGAGGGGCGAGGGGGGTCCGAATCCCGGTCGGAAAGCAAAGCTCACGGCGGAAAGTATCAACTGGAAATTGCGTAGAGATCACGTTAACACGTTAATCAGGCGATACGGAGCCGGGGTCCGGGCTACGCGACGGGAGGCGTAGCGTAAGGTCACGCGACTCCTCGGAGAAGCCGCGACGAGAAATGAACGTTAACTGGCGGATAGCGCCTTTAATTGCGTCGTCAGGATTTCACTCACGTCCCGGATAATTCCTACGCTTAGGTCGCCCAGGGACCTGCCTAGCCGGGCCCGGATGACCCCATACGTTGCGCTTAGTCCCCCAGCGTCCCCCTCCCCCTCCCCGCGTCACGCTGCTTAATCACGTCACCGTTGCTTTGTACACTAATTGGAAACAAGCTTAAAAGTTTCATCTTCTTAATTCCCGACGATTTTTTGCTGACGCTCCCGCTGCAACCGAGTCGTTGCGTCCCGCGGGGTTTCCTGTTGAATTCCGACGGGAAGCGCGGAGTCTTAAGGAGTCTTTGATGTTCGACCTAGTTTTGGGTTTTTCTCGATTTTAGTGGATTTGTGACATATGAGGACTTATATGTAACAATGGCGGATGTGAACAATGACCTTTTCGAAACACGTTCAAAAAACTGTTTTGGTATCGAGAACATTTTGAGAAAATACTTGAGATGTGATCTTCAAGATCTGTGCTTTATGCCAAAGCCAAACGTATTAAATTTTTGTGTGACCAAAATAGTTTTATAAGCGCGTTTCGAAAAGGTAATTTTTTACATCCGCCATTGTTACAGATAAGGCCTCATATTCTGTAGACGGCCATCTCTGAGGTTCAACAAGAAACCTCTTTTTAAAAAGCCAAATCAGAGGGATATACGGTGAGTTGAGGGCAGTGTTTGAAACTCATCTTTGAGTTGCAGGAGCCATGTGCCTCATCAAGCTCGATTTTTAGGGGCCATTGAAGATTTCTTAGGGGCCAACTTGGCTTTTTGCCTATATATCACGGCGCATTCAGTGAAAAGTTAGACGCTAGATGTTTTAGTAACAGAACAAGTAGCTGTAACTTGGAAGAAATTTCGAAAAATCACCAAACAAAAAAATTGGGATTTTTTTCTGGGGGAGGAGGGAGCAACTTTTAGGCGCCATGACCGATTTCTTAGGCGCATTTGGCGCCTGTGAGTTTCAAACACTGGTTAAGGGATTCTATCCTCCTGCCCCTGACTGAAATTCTTCTTTCCCCGATTTGGTTTTTAAAATACAATTTTTTAAAAATTTTCTCCTGTGGCACCTTTCTGTGTATTGTAAGTGATTCATAGGGTTTGTGAGAATGTCTTTGCCATTAACATTTTTTTTCGATTTTCAAGGATGAGCCCGCTATTTTTTATATAATTATTACGATTTTGGAAATAAGACTCGGGTTTTTTACATGACGTGATGAAGTTGTAAATGCGTCCATTGAAACATCGGAAATGTTCATATTTTTTCACAGTTCATTCTAAAGATCTGTGGGGTCGATGGTCATGCATGATTTTTGCAGCTTTCGACGAGAAAAACTCCCTAAATGAACCCCCTCTATTCATATTGGCACGCGAGCGACCTCGTAGGGGGCGTGTTCCCTTGTAGAGGATAGTTGACGCGACCACATTCCAGCTTTTTCAAATTTTTAGGGCTATGGGCTACACGGTTCTGTTACGGCAGACCTACACCGCAGAAGCGGATCCAGTGATTTGGCAACACCGGATTTCTTCTCTTTAGACCTTTGTTAAACAATCGATTTTGATCAAAGCTTTTTGAAATGGAGAAAAAACGATATTGCCAATTTGCTGGATTTGCGAATGCCAACACGTCAATCCTGGAAAAATGGAGATGTTGCATGTGTGAGGAATTTGCGATTTGACTGTTGATTCATATGTAAAAGTTTGCGAGAAACACGATGGTGCCACTGGTTTTCTCTGAAATCAACTCCCAAGCTCAAAAAAAGCTCTCAAGTTGAGGCCAAAATGGAGGGGATATCCCACGCTATCCTGAGAGTCCACCTCTACATCAAGACAAACTCTCCATGCAAAGATAGGGAACGAGTACATTGACAGGGTTGGCACTTTATTTGGGGACTCCAAAATTGAAAACACGGCACCACTGCTAATGTATTTGTTCCCTATCTTTGCATGGAGAGTTTGTCTTGATGTAGAGGTGGACTCTCAGCCTGAGTGTCCACCTCAGGATAGCGTGGGATATCCCCTCCAATGTGGCCTCAACTTGAGAGCGTTTTTTGAGCTCGGGAGTTGATTTCAGAGAAAACCAGTGGCACCGTCGTGTTTCTCGCGAACTTTTACGTAAGAATCATTAGTCAAATCGCAAATTCCTCACACATGCAACATCTTCATTGTCGCTACCACCGGGATTTGAACGCGAGACCCATTGACCTCGAGTCAGACGCGCTATCAACTCAACCAAACCGACCGGCTGGAGCGTTTTTTCGGAGTGCGGGACGGAACGAAAAGTAAGATAAAAAAGGGAGAATAAGA